CTCGGTAAGGACGTGCCGTCAGGGATTGGGATTGGGATTGGGACTGGGAATAGATTGTAAAAGACTCGATACGATAGGTCGATAGGATTGTAGAAAAAGACTCGATATGTTGTGCTGCCAGACTGATCAAGGCATCATCGGGAGTTCTTAGGAATTGTTTTGGTATTTTCAATAACAACTTTGTGGCAACTTATCTTTGTGGCATGTGGCAATACAGAGAAATACAGAGGCTGGAGTTTGAAAAGCTGCAACAATCGATCGGATCGCAAAATGGAAGCAACAATGAAAAGGTACCAAGCTACCTACATGTACATGTTCGTGACGCTAGTACGCTAGTACGCTAGTACGCTAGTACAACAAAAATACTACATACATTTGTACATCAATGTGTTGAGGCTGAAATGTCGAACTGCACTGTCGAACATTGTTTCGTTTTTTGGATCCAAGTCACATTTTATCGACTGGGACTGTCAAGTCCCAGATACGAGTTCGATACAGCTGGATACAGTTTTAGTCATTAAAGTCCATACGTTGGGACTTACCCAGCTGATATCTTTAACAATGGGCATGCTGAATGCTGTCATGATTTTATGGTGTAAGTATGGATACCTATACCTATACCTATACCTATGCCTATCCCTTGGATGTTGTTTCTTATTGGTGGTGTTGCTTGCAGGTGCCATGCTGATGGTGGCGCAACCAGGGAAGGGCCAGGGCCAGGGCCAGGGCCAGGGTACGTGGGGCATGCTCTCGGATGATGACCATGCCAAAGTCAAAGATACGGGATCGTGGATGAGTGAAGAAACTGACGGAACCACCATGGCCATGCCAACAGGCAGTCCAGATGAGGATTACAACATTTTTGGCGTTACCGAAGCAGCACCTAAAGGCAGATTGACCATCACATATGCACCCCAGATCCGTGAGCCTCGCTTTGGCTCATCGAATGGACGTGACACCGATTTAGAGCGCCAAGTGACATTGGCTCAATTGGCGCCAAGCGCCGCAAATTAGCGCTGATGCAAAAACGTCGCCACCTCGCTTCGGGACAAACGCTGCAGTCCATCAAGCAGAATCCTTTGATGAAGATCCAAGCCCCTGAAGCCACCGAAGCCCCTGAAGCCACCGCCAACTCAAACGCTTCTGATGTGCCATTTGTATATTACAACAAGGTAGAGACGCCAGCCAACAATGCTGAGATCAAGGTGTTCGAAATGGTGTCCTCCAAAATGTCGATTGAGACCTTTCAGCTGAAACCCTTTGCGCACTCGAAACCGAGATCAGGATTTCCTCAGGATATGATTGGAGTTCCGTTCTCGGACACTCTCGAGAATGGATCACAAGGTAACCACTCGTCCGAGCACAATCGATGTCGCTACTATTCGATGTATGACATGTTGCAACCGCTATTGGAACCGCTGTTGAACATCCTGCCAACAAAATTGGTGACACTGACACAGAAAACCACTGAGAAGCCCAGCCCAGAAGGACCAGTTGTGAAGAAGGAGACAGCCTGGAAGCAGTCACCTTTTGATCTGCACAAAGGCCCAACAATTGAAAACCAGTCTCCCCTTGTCACGTACAACAGCAGCGAGGTGGGAGGACACATCGGTGGGTGCTGAATCCCTGATTCAAGAGAGCGCAACAACTCCTAAGCCCTCCTAATTTGAGATGCCGAAAGACCAGTTACTGTTGGAGCTGCACAAACGACAAATTATCAAAAAGTATAAGGCAGCAGCCCAGCGCCATCTACGCCAACGCCAACGCCAACGCCACAAGGACTCATCTCTGAATAACGTCGACAGCGCAAGAGTCCCTTCATTTGGGAGCCCAATGTGGGAGGACCAGTCACCGTCACCGTCACCGTCACCGTCTGGCATGGCAGCCCACCAAGGGCAGCGCCACCAAAGCCACCAACTTCACCGCCACAAGGACAAGGGTGAGGACGAGGACGAGAACTCGCCGAAATCCTTTGGGATGCACAAAAAACCAAAAATAGAGCACCAGTCACCGGTTGAGCTGCACAAACGCCAGCAGATGGCCAAGAAGAAGAAGGCAGGCTACAACCAACAGCGCCACAGCCACAGCCACAGCCACAAGAACCCAACTCTGCAGAGAAAAGCTGAAGAGCAGAAAAGCGATGAGGATATAATGAAATTCCTTGCGGATCCATGCAATCCATTTAAGATGAACGACAGCGCAATTTTGGAGAAGATTCTCAACAGCCAAAGGATCAAAAACCCCTTTGAGTTGCACAGCAGCCGCGTGGATCACCCAACGATCGACCCAACGATACACGATCCATACGTGACAACGACAACACCTTTTTGGCTGAACAACGTCTCACACAAGGAAAAGAAGTTACCATTTGAGCTGAGGACCCAGGAGAGCTGGGTCACACCATCGTATGCCGAATATCTGAACGACCGTGAGGCCGTGATGAGGCCGTGATGAAATCCTTGGAGATGCCAGACAGCCCACCGTGGGAGGAGCTGCAGAACAGCCTAAAGATAAAAAATCAGTCGCCCTCTGTGTTTCCATGGGCATACCATGCAGCATACCCGAAAAACGATGAAGTCATCGCAACACCGTTTGAGCTGCACAAAATACCAAAGAAGGAGAGAAAGAAGAGTAAGAGTCCAGTGTCGGAGGCATTCCAGGCATTGTTGGAGCTGCACAAGAGTCCAAAAAGTGAAGGCCAGATGCCCTTTGAGCATCCGCTCAACAGCCGCGAAAAGCAAAAGCAACCCTATGAAGGGTACCCTCCATACCCTCCTCCGAATAACAACGAGGACACGGCGACACCCATTAAGCTGCATGAACCGCTGCACAGCCCAAAGATAGATTATAATAAGTCACCTATCGAGTTCGACACCTACCAGAACCCAAAGCTGGAGAACCAATCGCCAATCGTTTCAGATGTTCCACAAACCAAAGGTGGAGTCGCTCCACAGCCAGATCCGCTTGGATCATCGTATCTCAACGTATGCTCCATCACACCCAAATAATGAGGAGGAGACGCTAAAACCTTTAGAGCTGCACAACAGCCCACCGAAGGAGTATAAGTCACCATTTGGGATGCAACACAGCCCATTGGGGGACAACCAGTCGAGCACCAGTAAGATGCACCAAAGCACCTCGGAGGCCCCTTTGTATCCCACATACCCGAAGATCAATGCGGGCATTCCGAAGATCATAGAGATCATAGAGAATCTCAGGAAACTCAGGAATACCGTCAAAAAGACGGTTGCCGCTGGCTGGATGGCTGCTGCCATTTTTCGACGAGACTTTCGATGCCATAGCGACCAAAGAATTTAAGAAATTGAGGCTCAAGCGACAGGCTGACAGCAAGAAGGACGAACTGGAGACATTTGGAGACGAGCCCAAGGAAGTCATTGGAAAGGAAGGCACCGGCACCGGCACCGGCACCGCACCTGTGCTCACCTGTCCCGTTCGCCAAGAGCCTCATGGCAATCGCAAAGGCGATCAAATTTGATCATTTAGGTTTCTAGATATAAGTAGATAATAGCGAGTAGGATATTAGGTTGATAGGTAGCTAAGACTAAGACTTCGACATGTTCTTGGGGGTCACATCCAAATTTGTAGCTTTTTCTAAATCAATTTTAAATTTGAAATTTGAAATTTACTATTTTAAGGCAATTAGTTGTAGTTTTGGGTTTAGTTGAATTGAAATGAAGTTAGCTTCTGGGAATGTTAAATTGTTGAATGTTAAATGCCTTTTGCTTTTTTTGTATCAAAAATAGTTGAATGCCAAAAAAAAAGAGACTTGAGACTTGTAAACTTGTAAGAGATAAGTTCTAGAACTAACAAAATAATATTAAAATCAAATTACGCATTCAACTTTAAAACGAGAACGAGAACTTAATAAGTGGAAGAACGATTTAGTTTTCGAATCAATTCAAATGAAACAACAATCTGTGGCATTTTCTGATTTGATGTTGCTTAAAAATGTTTTTGTTTTTGCAGAATACTTTCAGGCTTCCCTTCCGCGTTGATCGTAGAGCGATCGCCCCATGATTTCCATGCCTACAAATAATCCCAATAAATATACAATTCCTATGGGGAATGGTCTTCACATTATTATGCACTTTATTTTGAATGCCTCTCTCTCACTCTGACTCTCACTCTCACTCACGCTCAATACAATCAATCAATCAATCAATCAATCAATAAACAAACAGGCTGTGGGTGTTGTATTCTTTACATTCACAATAATTGTTTCGTTTATTATTACTTTAGTTAGTTAATAGTTAGAGTTCTCAATAGAAATAGTGGCTGCTGCTGCTGCTGCTGCTGCTGCTGCAGTCATTTATTTATTTCTTTATTTATTTGTTATGTGTGTACGATGCTGGGATCCCGTGCTAAACAAACAAAAAAAACAATAAACAATAAACAATGAGTAAATCCTAATTATGAACATGACTTTATGGCAGCTTTATTGCCACCATCAACCATCAAACTCTCTCCGGATGCCACTTGTGGGGATGCAACAGACAAAAGCTACTACAAGCAACCACAACAAAAAGTTTCAGGACTTGTTTCATATGATGTGGGAGGGAGTGGGAACTGCAAAAGATACAATTACAATTACAATTACAATTACAATTTCCAAGGTACGCCACGACATAACATTTCTCTTCACGTTTAGACTTTAAATTACATTTTACGCTCTTCGATGTTTCCATCATTTTTGTGTACAAAAAAAACAATTTGGTTTCACGCTTGCATTAGCCGAGATTTAGCTTTAGATTATGTGCTATATATATATATATATATGCATATGTATGTATGTATATAGGTGTATAAGNGAAAGGAAGGCACCGGCACCGCACCTGTGCTCACCTGTCCCGTTCGCCAAGAGCCTCATGGCAATCGCAAAGGCGATCAAATTTGATCATTTAGGTTTCTAGATATAAGTAGATAATAGCGAGTAGGATATTAGGTTGATAGGTAGCTAAGACTAAGACTTCGACATGTTCTTGGGGGTCAATTTTAAATTTGAAATTTTAAATTTACTATTTTAAGGCAATTAGTTGTAGTTTTGGGTTTAGTTGAATTGAAATGAAGTTAGCTTCTGGGAATGTTAAATTGTTGAATGTTAAATGCCTTTTGGTTTTTTTGTATCAAAAATAGTTGAATGCCAAAAAAAAAGAGACTTGAGACTTGTAAACTTGTAAACTTGTAAGAGATAAGTTCTAGAACTAACAAAATAATATTAAAATCAAATTACGCATTCAACTTTAAAACGAGAACGAGAACTTAATAAGTGGAAGAACGATTTAGTTTTCGAATCAATTCAAATGAAACAACAATCTGTGGCATTTTCTGATTTGATGTTGCTTAAAAATGTTTTTGTTTTTGCAGAATACTTTCAGGCTTCCGCGTTGATCGTAGAGCGATCGCCACATGATTTCCATGCCTACAAATAATCCCAATAAATATACAATTCCTATGGGGAATGGTCTTCACATTATTATGCACTTTATTTTGAATGCCTCTCTCTCACTCTGACTCTCACTCTCACTCACGCTCAATACAATCAATCAATCAATCAATCAATCAATCAATCAATCAATAAACAAACAGGCTGTGGGTGTTGTATTCTTTACATTCACAATAATTGTTTCGTTTATTATTACTTTAGTTAGTTAATAGTTAGAGTTCTCAATAGAAATAGTGGCTGCTGCTGCTGCTGCTGCTGCTGCAGTCATTTATTTATTTCTTTATTTATTTGTTATGTGTGTACGATGCTGGGATCCCGTGCTAAACAAACAAAAAAAACAATAAACAATAAACAATAAACAATGAGTAAATCCTAATTATGAACATGACTTTATGGCAGCTTTATTGCCACCATCAACCATCAAACTCTCTCCGGATGCCACTTGTGGGGATGCAACAGACAAAAGCTACTACAAGCAACCACAACAAAAAGTTTCAGGACTTGTTTCATATGATGTGGGAGGGAGTGGGAACTGCAAAAGATACAATTACAATTACAATTACAATTACAATTTCCAAGGTACGCCACGACATAACATTTCTCTTCACGTTTAGACTTTAAATTACATTTTACGCTCTTCGATGTTTCCATCATTTTTGTGTACAAAAAAAACAATTTGGTTTCACGCTTGCATTAGCCGAGATTTAGCTTTAGATTATGTGCTATATATATATATATATATGCATATGTATGTATGTATATAGGTGTATAAGTAGATATATCGTATCGTGTATAAATAATTACAAAAAAATCTCTTTACGATGTACGAACAAAAAATACTTGCGCTCAATTTTAGACATGAAACAAAACCTTTACATCGAGGAGTGGGGGAGGGGTTAGGGATAGGGTTGCAGGGAAACGCGAGAGAGAATCGATTCTTGATCCTCTACTACTGACGCCGCACAGTCCGCTCCCGATCCCGCTCCCGATCCCGCTCCCGTTCGCGTCCGCTCTCTTCGCGCTGCAGGCTGCCATGCCTGGGCGGTGAGGTGTTGCCGGCGGCGCCGCCCGCTCCAGAGCCACCATTGAGTACACGCGCCTTGCGCGATCTCTTGAACTTGGCCATGTCCTCGCCAAAGACGTCGCCCGTGCGCAGGGCCGAGATGAGGTCATCGAACTCGCCCTTATTGTCGCCGCCGCCACCCTTGGCCGGTGAGTCGCCGCCATTCGTGGGCGACGAGGACTTCAGGCCAAGATTGCGGGCAACGCTGCTCATGAGGCCGGTCTTGTTCTTGCGATCGATGGTCCGCTTTTTGAGCTCGGCCTCCTGCTTGGCCCGCTTCTCCTCCTCCTCCTCCTCCTGCCGTCGACGGAAGCTCTCGTTGTCGTGACGCGCCTCCGCAAAGGCGCCCAGGAACGAATCAAAGATGCCAAAGAATTCGTCCGGCTGCAGCACGGATCCATCTTCACCGAACAGTCGAACGGCCCGATCGAAGCGCGTCTTCATGTCCTGGAACTTGTCCTCCAGCTCGGCAAAACGCACCGATGCCTGCGTATGGAACTCCCGCATGACGGGCAGGAAGCGATCGCCCTGCTGTGCGGGCCCCGAACTCCGATGGAACTCAATCTCACGGGCCACATCCGCCAGCCCAGTGCGCAGCATCTGTATGTCCTTGTCCATCTCGCCCAGCGACACCTTGGAGGCACCGCGCACATGCGGTATGTCATCCTCCAGCTTCAGCAGATCCTTGAACTTCTTCTCGATCACCTGCACCAGATAGTGGAGCAGCGTTGTGCCCTTGGCCGCGCTCGATTTGGTGTCCGCCAGACGATTGAGCGATGCCAAACGGAAGCCAGAGCCACGCATTGCCGCGTGCCCCACGGTTCATGTAGTTGCCTGCAACGGCAACGGCAACGGAAACGGCAACGAAGGATGCAAATAATGGTTATGGAGATGGAGATGGAGATTAGAGTTTTATGTTGATCCTACCCAAGGCCAGCACCAGTTCCAGTAACTTGCGCAGACGTCGAGAGCGTGCCACCTCGCGTGAGGCCTCCATGACGCTCTTGATGCGCGGCGTCAGATCGTTGACGGTGAGCATGAAGCGCTTCTTGTAGTGCAGACTCTTCAGCCGCTGCTCGTAGTGGGGTATCCTGTGGGTGGGGGCAGAGAGAAAGAGCAGATATAAATCACAGACTGCATCTGAGGTGCGCAGCAGCAGCAACTCACTTGGATATCTCGTAGAGAAAACGATCGGCACGTGCCAGCGATTCAATGTCCTCACTGTGCTCGTCCAGCAAGGCTCGCTCTTCGGCCGAGGGCGTGAACTTCAACAGCTGCTCGACCATGTCCAGCTGCAGCTGCTCATTGCAGTCCATGGAGAGGATGGCTCTGCGGAAGTTCAAGGCAAACGATTAGTCAGGCTTTGGGCTTAGTTTGGGTTCGTTCTTCCTACTTGGATATTTCCACATCGCTCATCTTCAGTTTGCTCAAGAGAATCGTGCAGTTTTGGGCTCGTCGTCCATCGATCACGGAGAGCACCTTCTGTTTGTTCTTCTGTCCAGTGGGTCGTAGATCCTCGTAGGAGCCATCGTGTGCCTATCAGGGGTAAGAACATAATTAGAGCTGCGGCAGAAGCGAAAGCAAAAGCGAAAGCGAAAGCGAAAGCGAAGCAGTAGGAGGACTCTTACTGGCACTCCATTCTTTTGGTAGGCCGAAAAGAGTTTGTCTATCGACTCCAGTTCCATGTTGTTGTACAGCTTGCTCTCGTCCAGTTCGCTCCAGACGGTGCCCTGCAGCTTGGCATCTGGCAGCTTGGACCAGTTGAAGCTCTTCAAGGGATTCGTGGGCTGTGGCACGTTCTTCTTCGGCAGCTCCACCTTGGGCGCCACAGGAGCTGCAGGTAGAACAGAGACACGGATTAGTGTTGGATCTCCAGCCTGCGAGTGCTGGGCGGACTCCTTCTCGAGGCGTTCGCGCATGCGCGCCAGTCCCGTCTCCAGATCCTCCTTCTCCTGCATTCGCAGATCGAGTTCCTGCTCCTTTTTGGCCAGACGCGACTGCACCTCAAAGTACTCGCGCTCCAGCTCATCCGCCCGCTTGCGCGCCTGCGTCAGTTGCTCCTCCTTGACCAGCAGACGCACCAGCTTGCCCACATCGATCTGCAGGGGTGCCACATCCGGATTCAGCTGCTTGCCGGGATCATCCAGGGGGTCATCCAGGGGATCATCATCGGGTATGAGGTCGCTGCTGGGTCGTTGCTCCACTTGCAGCACAATCTGCTGGACCACGCGATCAATCAGCAGCCAATGCTCGGTGCAGTGGCCCGTGTCTGCAAACAGAAATTCAATTAGTTGCAGATCCATGCCAGTGGCTGTGTGGCTGTGTGGCTACACTTACAGGGTAGCAGGAGCATATGCTGCAGCNCGGTGGGGGTGCACCTGGACATGGCGGTGGTGGCGGTGGCGGTGGCGGTGGCAGCATTGCTGGCGCCATTGGCGGTGCCGGCGGCGGTGGAATGGCATTCAACATCGGCGGCGGCGGTGGTGGCGGTGGTGGCGGCGACACAGCACCATTGCAGCCGGTCAGACCGGCAACCTTTTGGTCATCGGGTATGCTGCCTTCGGTAACGAGCCGCTCGAGACGCGCTCGCTCCTGCTGCTCGCTGTGCAGTCGATGCTGCAGATCCTCGGCCTTCATCTCGGCACTCTGGGCCCGCTGCACGGCCTGCGAGTGCTGGGCGGACTCCTTCTCGAGGCGTTCGCGCATGCGCGCCAGTCCCGTCTCCAGATCCTCCTTCTCCTGCATTCGCAGATCGAGTTCCTGCTCCTTTTTGGCCAGACGCGACTGCACCTCAAAGTTCTCGCGCTCCAGCTCATCCGCCCGCTTGCGCGCCTGCGTCAGTTGCTCCTCCTTGACCAGCAGACGCACCAGCTTGCCCACATCGATCTGCAGGGGTGCCACATCCGGATCATGGACTGGCGACTCTTCAGTCGCTGGCCAGCTTCAGCTGCTTGCCGGGATCATCCAGGGGATCATCCAGGGGATCATCCAGGGGATCGGGTATGAGGTCGCTGCTGGGTCGTTGCTCCACTTGCAGCACAATCTGCTGGACCACGCGATCAATCAGCAGCCAATGCTCGGTGCAGTGGCCCGTGTCTGCAAACAGAAATTCAATTAGTTGCAGATCCATGCCAGTGGCTGTGTGGCTGTGTGGCTACACTTACAGGGTAGCAGGAGCATATGCTGCAGCAGCGACAACATGTGTGGATACGCTGGCGAGTGGCTGAGCTTGCGGCGCAGCAGCTCGAACATGGAACCGCTCTTGGCGCTCTTCGTTGAAGCGACGTGCGAATTCCTTCTCATCCTCCTCATTCTCTCACCATCTCAAAGAAGTCCTGTAAAGCAGCGATTGCAACGATTAAACAAACACTCCGTGGACAAACAGCTGCGACTCGGGACTCACCAAATGCCTGTCCAGCGTCTCGTTCCCGTGGGTGCGCAGCTTGTCGATCACCGGCTGGATGCCCAGCATTAGAAATTCATAGCGCAATTGGCCATAGTTGAGGACAGCGTTCACAAAGGACATGAGGAGCCGTTCCCCGCAATCCCCACCCCTGCCAGCCAGCCAGCCAGCCAGCCAGCCAGCGACCTCGCCCTAGCCCTAGGGCTAGCCAACAATTTCCCCACGAAGTTCTTTTAATGAAGGACTAGGAAGTCCTAGTGGAAGTCCTACACATCCTTTTGGATGTGGCGATAGAGGGCGAGAGGGTTGACATTTTGGACTTTCATTGAAATAAATCGAAAAATGCTGCCAATTGGTACAACCATTCTATGTGCCTTCGATATCTTTCATCTCTGAGATATATTTGTAGGGAAACAGAAATATAGATCGGATTAATGGAATACTTTTTGCCCTCTGCCAAAGACTCTCGTAACTTTTTTGATATTCACCGAATCATAGTGGAGCAGGGCACAACCCAACCCAACCCAACCCAACCCAACCGGGAGCTGATTTTAAGAGGCGACAACCCACCGCTACTTTGAGGCCGCTCTCCCACTCTTGATAAGGTCTGGGACGGAGGGGGGGGGGGTTAGACACAGGGCCCTGTTGATAGCAGCAGTGGAATGTTCTCAATGGAAGCGTGAATCGTGAATCATATCCTCAAGCAACCTATGTACTCGTGAGTAAGTGACTGTGAGAAGTGAGAGCGACTGTGAATGTAGTGTGAATGAATGCTTAGACAGGGGATACGTTTTATTCTTCTTTTTTATACATATATTATTTAATTTCATTCCAGAATCTATAAGAAGTTGATTATCATTCAAATAAACGACTATTATTCAGTGGTTCTTCGGCACAAACAAAAAATAGGGTCTGAGTTCTACTCAGTTTTTTTCTTTCCGAATGGGGCATGGGGTCTCATTCTCTCTTTTGTGAGAAGAACCAATTTAAGGCTTATATTTTAATGCTAGTAGCTATGATATTTGATAGGCGTATACAAAACATAAGTATCAATTAAATTCCCATTTCAAATTGGGGTTCCGGCGGTTCTTCCGCATATAACAGAGGTTCAAAATTCTTCACATTTTCTTTAAAGTTAGTTGGAATTTTCTTCCTTTAGGAACTAATTGTTGGTTAGGTATTTTCCGTGTGAGGAGGGTATAGGATTCTTCCTTTGATTATATGTTTGTAGAGATCTGCTTTAGGCAATCATACTGAGAAGTGAGCTGACAATTGTTGTCCCTTGGTTGATATGTCCTGATCGTCCTGTTCTTTAGGTTTAATTCCATCAGTTATGTGTTCTGTTCTTTGTACTCTCAAATGACTTGCATTGGAACCTGAAGAGTTCTTCAGTTCTTGCAACATTGGTTGTGTTTTAGGTTTAGGCTGCCAAGAAACGAGGAATGATAGGGGATAGGCGTCTGGTTCCATTAAAAGATAACTGGAAAACTTACTCAAAATGTGTATAGTTTGTGTGTGTAGGAGGAGTCCTGCTGTGCTGTGTCCGGAGTGAATGAAGGGTGATACTGATACTGATACTGATCCATGGGCTTATGCAGTTGCATTCGGGGCTTCAGAGGCTGAAAAAAATATCTCACAAATCAGAAACAAACAAGTTCTGTCCATTGTCTCATCAGTTGTTTACCAGCATCTTCATTGGTGTTGCTGTCGCTATTCATGAGGTCCCTTACGGTAGTCCACACATCCAGACACATTTGAAGTAAGTGGAGGCAGTGTCTTGTGGTCTGCACGTCTCTGGACTCAAGGATCCTCTCCTCTGGGCAGGTGAACATGACATAAGACCCCAGAGCAATGGCCTCATCGAGGTTCCGCAAATTGCGCACCGCAAATTTGCAATAGGAGGTGATGTTATCCAGGTGGGAGGGGTCGGCCGGAGGTAGATTGAAGCCGTGCACCATCCCTTGGAGATAGGCAAGGGAGGCCACCGTATTGATCTCAGCATCGTTGACATCATCGGCGTTCACCAAGTGGCACGTGTTCCCCAGGCACTCGCCCATCAAGCGGTAAAGGTACGCTTTTGGCTCGTGGTCATCAGTGTTGAAAGAGTTTAGTGCCTGAACTGTGATGGACACCATATCCTGGACGTACCCCGTTAAATGCCCTAACAGGGTATTGACGGCGGCCTTGGCGGCCTCCACAACTTGTTTTTGCTCCTCAGTCGGTTCGCTTATCTGCTGCAGGGCCTGGCGTTCATCCTCCAACTGCTTCTCCAATTCTGTGTTCGCGTTAATGAATTTATTGATGATACCCAAAAAGATGTCGTTCATCACATGGCGCTCGTGGCTGCTCAGTTGCTCTCTCATGTAGACCATTACGGCCGTGCAAGAAACGGAGTCGTAGTACCGACCATTTAAGAAGCAATCCAAGGCGCACTCCGCCAATGTGTCGATCTGGCTCGTGTCCATGATGGTGGCGATCTTGATCTTGATCTGGATCTGGAGAAGAGGATGGGTGAAGGGCATGTTTCATTATTACATGGTGTGTCTCCAGATAGCGGTGGTCTCTATGGTACTACATGAAATCATTTGGTCAAAATAGCAATCGCTGCGCATTCAAGACGTTAACGACTGGCAATAAATCATAAGCGCCCCCTCGATACGGATACCGATACGGATACGGATACGGAAAGGTAAGGCCATCGATCGTTGGGTCTTTGGGATCCCTGTAATTGCTAATTATAAACGGAAGAATAGTGCCAGCCCCTTCTCGGATTGGTTGGATTGGTTGGATTGTTGGCCCACTTATCGCTCGCCAATCGGCTGGCAGATATTTTCCATGATTACTGCCACTGGCCCCTCAAAAAGAGAGAGAGGAGGGGACACCACAAAAGAGGGCTCTGTGCGGCCTTGCCGATTAGATATCGGGCAAGGGGCATTAAGTCATGCTCTATATGCAGGGACTACACGACTGCTCTGGACTACTGGACTACTGGACTACTGGACTACTGGACTGTGCTATCTATTCGGCTAATTCTATCTAATGAATGATTTGTGTCTCTGATACTCGCCTTTAAAAGTCCTTTACGGTGAGAGAGATTTGTGTGGGTTTGGGATGGTCTGTGGGTATGATTGATATGCTGCAAAAGTTCCGTTCTGTTGTTTTGTTTCCAATAAAAGAAAGAGACAAAAAAGTGTATGATAATCGGCTGAAGAAACCAGAATAACCAATAATAATAATAATGTATAAATGTATGTATAATAATAAATATGTATGCTAATATGCAAATCACATACATATCTATGTATACTGTGTATGTAATGTATTTTGTGATTTGCGATTAAGTCGTTTTGCTTAACGTTTTTTCATTAACACCGCCACATCTCCGTCCCCCTGGCATGGATGGGGATGAACCCCTGCAGCGTTGGCCAGTTGTCCAGCTAAGCCCCAAACCCCTCAAAGTTGACAGAGAGATGTACGTGAGGGAGTCGTGAGAGCGTGAGCGTAGGAGTATCTGCAACTCGAGAGGGACGAAGGAGTGCGTAAGGAGATCGAGCGAAAGTATCTGCTCATTTAGAGTTCACTTTAAGGATTCCCCATTTTTCCTTGGGGATAAGGACACCACCACCACATTTCTCTCTCCCATTTGCTGCTAAATATTTTGGTCGTGCGTGGCTCGTGCGTATCTTCGTGTGTCTGGCATTTGTCGCACCTCTGGCAACGCCCTCGGGCCTGGCCTGGCACCTCAGCGGTGTTTTGTCAAATTTTAAATATTTTCTTCATCTGTCATCTACATCTACAACACTTCTCACGCCAACACGCTCCGTTAGCTCGCCGCCCTTCCCTAGACCCACACACTGCACACTCGCTGCAGAGGCTTCGCCCGCACACAAAATACACAAACACAAGCCGCNTTAAAAGTCTCCCCATAGACTCCGCCGCTCCAACCTTGCGATCAAAACATTTAAATCGAAGCGGGCCCCCACGCTGTGACTCATCTTCTGGTTAAACTTTGTTTCTATTTTTATGGAATCCAAGAAATAATAAATGCTAAAATTATATTTCTTCTGATAGCTTCTGTGGCATAAGCGGAGGAACATTGGAGGCAGAATTGTTCTGGGAATATTCTTCTCTTGCATGAGGAAAATGCACAAAGTACGAAGGGCTTTCAGTTGGAATCAGGCAAAGGTTTTTCAACTAAAGAAAGCGCCTAAATGTTCTCCTGGATTTACATGCATAAATGTGTGGAAAAGTGAAACTCAATCCAACATTCTGTCATCGGAGGGGAGTCTCTCCAGTGTCTGCTGCAGTGTCGTGTTTTTTCTGCCAAAATTCTAAAGCCATGAATTCCCATGTGAAACATGTGAAGTACCAGTGGTCGTATTATCGCTTTGACTGTGGCTCTCTCTTATGCAACATTTAATTTGCTGAATCGTGGGTAAACCATGAAAGGCAGGCAGCCAGGCAGCAAAGAGCCAGAGCGAGAGCCGAGACTGTATGGGACTCTGATTTCAATTGGCAAATTGATTCGTTAGCATTTCGCACGTGACTTTTCACTGGGTTCACTCGATTCGATTGCACACGCTGCGCCACTATCTGAGTGGGGGGTTCGGGGCATGTGGCATGTGGCACTTACCTTGAAGCAGCCGCACCAGGCTCTCCTGCCCCTAAAGACGGGCATCTTTCGCTTTTGCTGTTGTCTGTAGTGTTTCTGTAGTGGAGTTTCGTTGCCCGGCCCGTTGCCGTTGCCGTAAAAGGACGAGGACGAGGACTTTTTATATCCTAGAGTGCTGCTGCTGCCGCTCTGGCTATCGAGGTCCTGCTGATGCTGCGAGTGCTGCTGCTTGAAACCAAATGGTAGGGATCCAAAGGTATAGCCTAATATATTATTCGTGTAGAATGAACCACTGCCCAGACCGCTGCCCAATCCAGCTTCGTTGTTGTTCGCATGATCGTTGCGCGACTGAGCATCCAATGGGTGGCACGATTGCCTTTTAGTGGCAATGCCACTGCCACTGCCACTGGCACTGCTAATGTCACTGCCGCCGCTGCTGCTGTACTGATTCCAATACCGATAGAGACTGTGGAAACAGTTGTAGTCGCTGAGTAATCCCTTCCAGTGCTCAAAGTCGAAGCGTTCTTGGAAGTTGCCCGATGAGGTGTCGCTGCTGCCGTGTGGATTGTTGTGCCCGTGACTATGGCTGTTCCTGTTGCTGCTGCTGCTACCTCCCAGGGGCAGGGTGGCGGTGCTACCACCCTCAGGACTCAACGGTCTCTCGCGGCTATAGCTGAGGTCGCAGCTATTTAGGCTTGTGATGGACACCAAGCTGCTGTTGTGATTTGTCTTTACAATGCTGCCAGGATGATTCTCATAAGAGTCTCGATTGTTGTTGTTGCTGTTGCTGTCGCCTGTTATCGTTATCTTTGTCACACCCGCAGAGGTGCCGCCAACAGCTGTTGTTGCCGCATTGATTGTAATGCAGTTGCCACTTAGGCTAGCTGCTGCTCCAGCTCCGACTCCGACTCCGACTCCACCTCCTTGCAGCTGCTTCTTCTCTAGAGTACTCTCGGGCGTGGTCTGCTGCAGTATCTCCGTGCTGTTGGCACTGTGCGTATCCGGCTCATTGATGCACACAACCGAAGGACACGACTGTAGCGTCTGCACATAAAGAGAGAGAGAGAGAGATAAAATAAGGTATTAATATTATTCGTAAATATCTTCTAGTGCCACTGCGGAGGTGTACAATTCCAGAAACAACAAAAACAAAACTCTGCTGCAACTGTCATAAGTGTCTGTTGCATGTTGCAACTGCCACAAGGCAGTTCTCTTCACGTGGGAGTCTGTTTTGTGTCTGTTATGCAAATTGTGCATTACAATTGGATTGCCATGCCACATGCCGCACACACACATGCCCCACTCCCTGCCCCATAAGCCGCATAATCCACATAATTCCTCCTCGCCGACTCTTTTATTGCAAGCCACTTAAAACGTAATCAAACACAAATCCCACAGTAATGATGGCTTATTAATTTACTTTACTTTACTTTACTTTACTTTTGTATGCCTGCCCCTGCCACATGTTGTTGCCACATTCCCCATGCATTCACCATGCAGTCGTTGTGGTCGTGGAAATCGCTTCTCAATGCCCGATTGAGCAATTCTCTTCTCTCCCTCCTATCTTGCCTTTTAGCAGCGCTTTTTCCCTTTAAGTTTTAGTCTGAAATTATCTCAAATATCCTTCGAATTAGTTGCATTTCCTTTGGGTGTTACTCGAAAGTGGAATATCATTTATGGACATCGTTTCATTTGATGAATGTGAATCAATATCCATGTGATCCATGTGCTGTGCATTTTTGCTCTTGCCTTCTGTTTGGCTGCCCCCACCAGATGCCGCCGCTTGTGTGCCACAAATCCCCACAGCGCCGGCGCAGCGTCTCAGCAGCTGTCGTCGTTGCTGTCGTCACAAATCAGGTCAATGCTTCAGCTACAGCTACAGCTTTATGTCACAGTCGACATCGCCACGTCTGAGTCTGAGTCTGAGTCTAAGTGTCTGTCTAGCTGTCTGTCTGTACCTCCCTCCACCGACTCCAAATTCAAGTCTGGGCTGCACATTTGTATCTGGCGTCTGCGTCTCTGAACTGTTGCCCCACGCTTTATGCGGCTTTAGTCCACGCGTGGGTCCAAATTAGACTCTCAATTCGATGCGATTTGAATCGATTTGCTGTTGAAATATGTCCCACAAATAAGCCCAAAGCCCAGAGGAGAGATGCAAGTAAAGAATGCAGAGATCTGTTCGATTAACAATAATTGAAATTCATTTTGGAATATTGCATATATAAATGTGGCACGTCAATCTGCATTGCTTCTTCCTCCAAAAAAGGGGGAAAAAACGGATAAAAATATCTTTAAAATTTCAAATTTCACGGACTATTTTTATGTTGCGATTTTTTCCTAATTTTTCACACTTTCCCAGAAGGTGTCGGAGTCTTACACACACACACACACACACACCTGCCTTGCCATATCCGTATCCGTGACTGTGACACGCCCACTACGCCATAACCAAACCGCCAGCGAAGTATTTCCGGGGGTGCCACCCACCCACAACCACCAACCAACGAACCAACCAACAATCCATTTATTCATCTATTCCAGCCATCCATCGCGTAATAACTTTATAGGAAAACGAATTGCTTAGCCGGAAAGTGGAAAAGTGTGCTGTGAAAAGTGCACAGTGCGGTGGATAAGGTGCGGAAAAGCATCTGTGCGATTTGGAATACTCTTGTGGCTGCCGAATCCATTGCAGTCCATGGAGCAGAAGGCCACTTGAGGATCATTACCATTGGCAGGGGGCATTCCCGCTCACCAGAGTGGCATTCATCTCCAGAAAGCGGATGAGTCTTTCATAAACTTTACTTCTACTTAAAGAAAAACCTTTTCTCATGCCATTCTTCAGTCGTTCAGGGATTGACAGGGATTGACAGCAAAACAACACACACAGGGAGCTCAGGGAGTACGCTTGCATTGCCAGGAGTGTCTGACCTATAAAAAGCCCTTGTCCAAACATAATTTTACTCTGAGAATAAGCTGTGAATGTGCATTACCTTTACTCAGAGGCACAAGAAGATCGATTCTGCAATCGTACTTTAAAGGGTGGGCCTCTGCATTCCAGTAAGTCTAAGGGCCATGGACAAGAGGGTATCCAACGGTGGGTCTGTCGTCCACGTCAATCCAATGGATTAACGCCTGCCCTTTGGACAGCCAGAGTGCAGAAGGGAGAGGGGGACAGGAAGAGGCAGAGAGATTGGGGGCGAGAGGAAAATCAAATGGCGCAATGTCTGGCTGCATCCAAAATGAAAAGCGAAAATGTATAAAAAACTAGTTTTTCCGCATGCCTAAGAAAATAAAGAAAACATGTCGAAAGGCAGCAACAGCAGCAGCCAGCCACAGAGTGCCACATGCCACAAGAGCCACCACCACACAGCTGTGTGGCAGCAGCAGCCATCAGCCATCAGCCAGAAAGAAGAAACTTTTCCTTTTTTTTGGGGTCTAAGCGCATCTTTACCCAGTTTTTCAGAGGCTGCCTGCTTAATTATCGGTGCACACACACACAAGCACACGCACACGCACACAGGGGACAGGTGGCGGCAGCTGGTGGCATGTGGCAAGCATCAATCATACGCAACGTTGCACCAGCGCTTTCCTCGTCAGCAGCCAAAATGTTGCATTTTCCAGGCATCCATCCAATCACATCACAATCCCACACGGCCCAAAAATAGTCATTATGGGGCCCGCAACTAAAAGAAAACTAATGGCCACAAAGTTGCTGGTGTGGGGACAATATAATGGGATGGGAGTGCGAAGGGGGTGGCATTTTTGGCATTTGCACGAGCAAATGTCAAGCATTTTCTTCCATTTTGTCATTAGCTTTGCGTACTTTCGAGTGTTAGTTAAGGACAGAAAAGCGTGTGCTAACACGAGCAGCATCTATTGGGAGGGACAAATGAAGAGAGAAAAGAATATAAGCGTCCATATACGATATTTTCCTGGTACAAATTAGAACCTCTATATTCCCTATAAATGATTCACAGATACACCTAACGGGGAGCAGAACAGTCGCTACAATAAATTAGATTAATTTTCTGGTATTAAAACCATTTCATTTATTTTTGTTGTGGTTTTTCATACCCAATACCCTTGCCGGTGGGTATAAGCTCATTGTAGGATGCGTTGCAGAGCCGAGATATATAAACTCCCACCATCACGGGGCAGAAAGGGTATCAAATACAACGGTGTCCTGCGGCTCAGGCAATCGAACGAGCGACGTGGCAGTGCCGGGGCCTCGACAATTGGCGCTGGACCGTGGTGAAGGTGTTGCAAGGTGTTGGTTACATGCAACAACAACCACATTAGCACCAACAACGAGCGAGCCCCCAGCCACAAGGCACTGGGCTGGTGGGGACTGAGTTAAGTTGAACAACAGCCCACAACAAAACAGCAAGTAAATGTGTAATCGAGTAATCAGGCGGGCATGCGGGTGCTGAAATTATTTTACTATGCATGTTGCAAGAAAGTACAACAATAAAAAACAAATCTACCTTTCTTTTACCTGCCACGAACCACCCTCCTCCTACAATCCTCTAGGGACATTTATTCCACACACTTTAGGATCTGCCACCTGATGCTCTCCACCATTTCGCTCCACCTTCATTAATGCCCTCTAGTCTGCATTGGTTCAAATAAATAATGAATACAAAAGTCGACGTTTAGTTGGGTTAAGAAGTTTCTTGTATAAAAACATTCCTTCAGCAACGTCTCTCACTCGTATCGCATTGCATTTTGTGTGCAGTTTTTTTTTTGTTTCGTTTGCGGCACGAGATGTCGTGTCGGATTCTTGTCTCTTGGTTTCTGTGGTCTCTGGACTTTTCTTCAACCGTTCTAACGTTTCAGATCTTAACTAATTTGGCCCCAAATACTGCACTGCACCCTCCACAAAATCCACAATCTTTTTGGAGCGGCGGCAACTGGGGCTCTCTGGCTGCTGCAATCTGAGACTCATTTACATTTTTCGGCCACATTGCTGCAGAGGCTGTCTTGGTCTTTGGTCTGTTTCTAGTTTAATATTTTTTTGGTTTATCTAACTTTTGATATTTTCAGCCACAAAATAGGCGTCAACTCCTGCCACACAGCCACACAGAAACAACCACAGACATTGCCTCTTTGGATCTCTCTGAGAATTTATGGGCAAAAGTGCAGCCAAAGTGGGTGCAGCCGTGTGGCAACAACCATTTCAAATGAGTGCTCGAGAGGAAAATCCCAACTGAAATGTCAGTCTCCCGCATCGCTGGAGAGGGGCAAAAATCTTGCAAAAAACAAAACAAAACAAAACAAAACCCATCGAAACATATGCAAAAGTGCAAGTGTTTTCATCTCCTGCTGCGGGCAAGAAAACTTTCACTAAATAAAGTTGTTTTGCGGCTGTCATGTTGTTGGCTTTTCGGGGGCATGCCTCTGGATCCACCAATGCTGCTGGCCCATTGTCTGGCAATGGCAGTGCCCGCCCTGCCCTGCCCTGCCCTTTATTCATGTCTCATGTCATCTTATGGTCATCTTTCATCCGTTCATCCGCTTATCCGTTCATTGTCCATCGTTTGCTGGATAATCATCTACCACCACCCATCCATCCATGCATCCATCCATCCATCCATTCAACCCATTCAGACATCTTGTCGAACCAAAGCGTAGCGAAGCAAACAAGTTGTTTTGTTTTTTGGCGAATTGGCAAAGTGCTTTTTAATTGTGATTACAACGATCGCAGCAACAAATGATGAGGGTCCCTCATCTCTCAGCGCCCAAAAAAACACAAATTGTGGAAAGTCCAAGTGTAGATTGCAGATAATGCAGATGGTGTGAGTATAACTCGGACTTGTGATCAATCAGGAAGTATGTCCGATTGATTGACAACCTATTAATACGTTTATCTGATGAATCTTTAATGTTGCACTTCAAACTATCAAAATATTTGTATTGTTTTAATGAAATTTGAAGCATTTACTTCTCCAAAAGGGCAGAAAATCTTTGGGGGCTCGAAACGTATTACGGTTGCGCTGCCATTCCAGAACCATTTGTTTCTTTCAGTATTTCTCCTAAGACTGGAA